TGAGATCAAAGCAAGACTAGTAGCACAAGGGGTTTACGCAAAGCCCAGACATTGATTTTCAATGCAAATCATTCTCCATAGTAAGTTATAAATTTTTGATACTATCTTTTGATTGGCAGTACAAAAGCATCTATCATTGCAGTTGATAGTTGAAAGATGTAGTGATTGTATATATTTATATGATCACTTGATTTGGTGTATTTGTGAAGCTTCCAGGAAGGAGTTTACATACCCAACCCTCATACATAAAATTGCAACACATATTGTGTATTGCTTAAGTCAATATATGGCTTAAAACAGTTAAGTCGAATTTGGTACAATCGACTTTGTGTATTCCCTAAACTGAAGGGTTACAAGATTGATTACACGTGGTGTTCATTTTGGAGTCCTTGATTGAATTCCATAGTGTTATATGATGGTCAATAATCTTGACATCATTAATGATGAACACATGTTAATAGCATGTTGTAATCTAAAGACGGAGTTTGAGATGAAAGATACGGACTAAACCAAAATTTCATTTTGTGTTTATGATCCAAGCATCCTTTCTCAAGATTTTGTACAAAAGCTATCTATATCCAGATCATATTGAGTGATTCAATATGAAGGTATCCTATGGTTATTCTACCTCATGATAGATGAAGATTGTTTTATTCCATAGTGACTGAGATGAGATATGGGACATGTAGTCCATTATCTCTGTGCTATTTATGTGCTAATATATCTTGCAAAAGTTTCTGGCCGGATATTATTTTGTAATGATTTGCTATCTAGTAGCAGCGCTACTCCTACCAAATGTTGATGGATTGAAGTTAATAATATCTTTTGATATCTTAAATAGCACATGTGGTCCTAGTGTAATCCATGATCTGATTATATGGATATAATGATTCTGGTTATCTATAAGATCTTCAAATTTCAGATAATTGAAATAGGCTTTATATGAATAAAAAAAACTCGACCGAAGGGGGGTTAAGACTGTCCCCGCAGCATTACAAATAAGAAGAAGGACCTTCTCACCCGTCCGAGAAAACCCCTAAACCCTCGCCTCCACCCTTACACAGTGGCTTTCCGTTGTCCAAGTGAGAATTGGGCCGGTGCCCCCCCAGTGCTTTGGTTATGGGGACGGACGAGGGGAATTTTTTAACCTCAGCCTGAAATTTGCTTCCACGGAGAGTCGAACCCAAGACCTAAAGAGTGCCGCTGGGTCACCTAACCGTTTGAGCTAAGCGCCCTTTGGCGGCTTTATATGAATATGGAAAGACCATTTTATGATAGTCTTTAAATAGATATTTAATGGTCAATTCCATTAATCATTCTGACATTGTATTGTACAAGGCTTCACATGAATGTGTATAGCTTGACAGAATGATATATCACATACTGAAGTTACGTGGTGTTGATTCTATGAATCAATAGTCATTATCTATAAAGGTAATACAACTTGTGTTGTGTAGATGGAGACAAGTTATACTTAATGCAATATTTTTGCACTAAGATGGTTAAGTTTCATAGGTAATATGGGCTTATGAACATTTGCAAACTAAGTATTGTGATAATCTCAGCTGAGATATTTACAAAGTCTACCACACTCCACATTTCTTATATGCTGAGTGCATTGGTATAAATTTACTTTGAGATTTGCATGTATCGGGGAGAGTCTCTTTGTTTCATAACTTGTTGCAAACATCATATTACATCTTTTCTTTGTATGAGTTTTCCCTTTGGATTTCTCATATAAAGTTTTTAATGAGGCAATATCAGCACAAGGTTATGTCATATCATCTATTTTTCCTACAGAGGTTTTTGGTGGATGATATTGGGACATAAAATGTATTGTACTCTTTTTCTTTATGTGAGTTTTCCATTTATGGTTTCTCATATAAAGTTTTTGATGAGGCAATGTCGACACAAAGATATATGCTATATCATCTAGTTTTCCCCACCGGGGTCTTTGGAAGATGATATTTGAAGCATATTGACCCTATGGTCAAGGTGTTTTTAGACTAAGGCTTTGTGTTTATCTCAAAGGGTCTAATAACATTGGTGATTGTATATCATGGTGTTTCTCCTTATTTTTCCCACTAGGTTTTTTAGGAGTTTTGCCGGGTATACCGGTATTACTTTGGTTTTTCCCATAGGGTTTTGCAAAGATTCATAAAGATGCATAATAGATGAACAATAAAGACTATATGGAGTTAATTGATCAAGGGGGAGTGTTGAGAATTATTATTTAGTGCTCAATTAGGGATTATTCCAAGGGGTGTCTTTTCACCCCTCTCTCTCTTTCACACTTGTAACAACCCACATGGGCCCTGTATATATATGTACACACTATTCATTGAGAATACAACAGAGATCATTTGCACTCATTCTTTTACTTCTAACAAAATTAAAATCTACCACCAATCGTAGTTGTATGACTTTTTGGATAGGGAAAACAAACTAATTACAAATCAAATTTGCTTCTTGTAACATCATCTAATTACGACTGTATGTAGCACATTGTACTTATCACCCTAAAGATCCAGTTTTGGTGTAAAACTACATCATTATATATTTCACTTGTATGAGCAAATGCTCAATGCAAGTTGTTGGAATGGGAAATCGGTGACGAAGAAGGATCTTACAGTGCATACCATCCATCAATTGTGGCATTGCAATATCTCATGAGAGTAGACTAGATCTAAATCTCATGGACCCTAATGCCGCGTGAGACTGTAATCTTTTTTGATATAGTGAGTGCTAAAAAGGATATTAACTTAACACTACCATTATCCATCCTTGATAGATCTCTCTTATTCTCAAAAGGACTACTAAAGATTGAGAGAGAACCTCGTCTATAATAATGTATAAACTGTCGTAGCCTCGCAAACTAAAAGAACCTATAGACCATGAAAGCGGTGTTGGTCTATATGTCGACTATGTTAGACGGTTCATGCCCTAGATTTGGTCAGTCCACCACCCTCATCCACGCAATAGGCATTTCATATGCACACAACACACATGATCCTGCAAGAAATCACAAGAAAAACAAATATAGCTCCAAATATTTGTGAGACAAATTTGTTGAATTTATTATGTTATCCTCTACCTTTTAAAAATAGGTTTGCACAACAAATTATGTTTATAATTTTAATTAAATTTAACATATTGTTAACTTTCTTAAACATAATGAATTCTCTATAGGTTGAAAAATCATGAAACTAGTTTTGTTAGCTTCATTTTTGACATGTGCTATATTTTAAGATGTTTCTTACCTAAAATCATTGCATATGTGCATATGGCATACCAAAGTAGGCGTCACTTAGTAACCTAGCACTAGAAACCTTAAGCCATGTACGATCTAGTAGCACTTCACATGGGCAAAACCAACCCTATACACCTTCCTAGAATGTGTCATAGACTCACATAGCAGTATCTTGGAAGCAACCCCTTAGCAAACCATGGCCAAATCCCAAGGATGGTTCGAGCAAAGCCCCAACAGCTTCTCCAGAGACTTGTCAGTTTTTGTCTTGAGCTTGCATATGGTCCATGGAACCTCCATGTACGTTCCGAAGCCCTTGTAATTAGCCTAGACGAAACATGGCATAATAGCCATTCTAGGTTAGGCAAGAGTCTCAAATCTGTATAGTTTCAGTTTGAGGCTTGTAGTGCAATCAAGATTTATAACTAACCTTTAAATTTGTCCTATCATGTACCATATCATGATTACTTAATTGTGCAAGGGACATATGCGTTCTTTCTGGGTTTGTACGAGTTGCATATCGAATATTAGGGAGGAACGAGATTATTTTGCTCAAGCCATGTTAGCAAAAGGCCGATAGTTGAGTTCAATCTTGATAATTTGGTAGGTTCTTCCAACCATATTTCATGATAGATTTATTGATGCCCATTCTTTTGAAATTATAATACTAGTGTTTTAAATAAAGTCAGTCAAATTTAGTACCATTCGACTTACAACAAAATTAGAAGTGTATATATATTTTAGAATGTAGAGCATCAAATACAACCTCCATCAAAAAAGGAAAGAAAAAAATCCAGTCCCATTTTAGTTTTATTTGCCTGCAAAGAGAGATTTCATGTGAATCAAAACAACCAGATTCAAATATGTGAAATAACCAGATGTACGCTATACATGATTTTTTTTAATCCAACTCCTTGAGATTAGTTAAAGAAGCTCTCCAAAGCCAAGACGACAATGAACTTTACAATTAAAAACACTTGTTTTGCGGTCGCTGAAGATCAAGTTTCTTTCTACAGTAAAATAAAAATTTGGGCCCAAGGCCAATCTTCTCTTCTATCTCCGGAAAAAAGAAACCAAAATCTTCTCTTATGCTTGCGCAACAAACAAGCATCTCAATCAGTGAATTTCGGTGATCGTCTTTAGATCTGAGTGTAGCTATAGGTTTGTTTATACACGCGGGTGGTGTATAGTGTGCGTGTATGTTGAGTGGATGTGCGTGTATTGTTACAGCTCTAGCCAGACGAGAGACTTTAAAAAAAAAACAAACAAGCATCACCATCGACGGGGCAAGGGCCCACGGAACACCAGCCGTCCGATCCATATCGACGGCCAGAAAAATCGGAGGAAGCCCGGAAGAAGTCTCCTTCCACCACCACCCTTCTCTCCTCCGCATCTCCCTTTACCATTCTCTCCCCCCTCCTCCCCACCTCCTCGCCGCCGCAGACGACCGCCGCCGCCGCCGCTGCGAACTTTTGCGAATCTTCGTTGTCCGGTACATTCCCTCCTCCGATCTTGATACCAGCCGCTTCTTGCCTTTTTATGATCGCCTCCCGTTCAATCGGGGGCGGGCCTCTCTCCCCCGATCGAATTCCCCTCGAATCTAGAGGGTTTCCTCCGATCGAATTCCGCGCGTGGGGACGGGCGGTTTCGTGTACCTTTGAGTTGTTAGGCACTATATATATGCAGGCGGCGTCCCGTTCGATCAGGTTTGACGTGCGTGGTGTTGTCTGTCGCAGGGCTGTGGGGGGCAGGCATGGCGCTCCGGAGGCTGCTGCAGGGGAGTGTCCTGCCGCGGGTAACCGGCAGGGCTTTGGCACCGGCCGTGGCGCCGTTTTCAACGGAGTCCGGGGAGACCATCCGTGCCACGCTCTTTCCCGGCGATGGCATCGGGCCAGAGATCGCCGAGTCTGTCAAGCAGGTACTGAATTTAGGTTCGGTTTGGTTCCTTTGTACAATTATTTGGATTGTCTACATGTAAATCGGAAAGTTCGTTTGTTTGATAGATAGACAAACTAAAGCTATGTTTGAAGCTAAGCTTGTAGGAACATATTGTCCACGGCATGCAGGATGGTGTACTGTTTTTTGATGCCTATACTCATAGAAAGATCTATGTTTCACTTTTTTTTTTGTCTGACCGAACTCCTAAGTTTTTCCTTTCATCAGGCTAGAAAAGAGCGAAAACAATTTTACATGTAATAATGAATTTGACCACTTGAGTTAGTAAGATAAGATAGGGGTAATACTATGATGGCAATCATTAACAAAACAGATGCTCATTTCTCTTATTCTCATAACAAGATAGATTAACATTTACTTTTCATTGTGTCTGAAACATAATGTATATATATGCTATTGAAGAGCTAGCATTTGTTATGGTTTTAAATCGATTCTAGTTAGTGGCATACTGGCGTGAGAAAGAGAAATCATCTTGCATTCCACAATATGGTAGCTATAACCTAAATGCAAACTCCAGCATATGTGCCGTGTTTATGCAAAGTTTATTTTTGTGGGGTTTTTTATGGATATTGATCCGACACTAGCATATGACAGTTTGGGTGACCATGTGGGGATGCTATTATCGAAAGCATTTGTTCTTATTGCCGGAGGAGCACTTGAGAGTTGAGACAGGCTGTGTTCTTCCAAAATATGTGATTTATGTCACTTGTGTGTATTTCTATTATTTTCTGTTTTGATATTCATCTTGAAGTGGGATAGTCATTTTTGGTTTTCAGAGTATGTTCCTACCAGTTATTTATGGCTCTCTTATTATTTTGTAAGTTTGTGATCTGCACCTTGGCCAATTCTGTCTGAAATGCATTATATGAAGTATACATTCAGTGACTACTGTAATCTAGACACTGCTATTGTTGCGTTCACTGTATCAACTCTCTTTATTGTATTGGATCCAATGCAGTTGAAGGCAAATGTGATGTGAGGCACTAGGTCCTCAAGTCGCACTTGAGGGTCAAGGCATAGAAAAATTATGTATACAAAAAGCATCAGGAGTAGCCTATAAACATAGATATACAATATATCTTGTAGTATATCCTTTGGCTCTTATTTTGGTGTTTGGATCAGCTAGGGAATTGTTCTTTCAATTGGGGCTATATTTGTCAGTATAAATAGCAATCATAGCCTCTGATTTACACAGATAAAGCTAATTGCTGAATACTTTTAAAAGTACTGTTTTACTTTGTATGTCTTATTCGGCATATCATATTATCTTTGTAAATTATTAAATTATTTTATAGTTAAATGCATGAGCACCCCCTAAATTTGTCGATGTCGCTGGGGTCCATGAACTTTGAAAATGCATTTCTGGCTAAGTGGTGGATTGCATGTCCCTGAACTTTTTAAATGGTGCACCGTAGGTCCATTTATGGACCATACTGACCACTGCGGTGTACCACTTAACAAGTTTAGGGAACCAGAAATGTGTTTTCAAAATTCGTGGACCTAAGTGACACCCTTTCAGGGGCTGCTCATGCATTTAACTCATTATTTTATGACCATAGAAGGTCGGCAGGGTGGGTAGCGAATAAGTGGTCTGCAATACCGAGACGGCACCTTCTCATGCACAGACCTAAGAGGCTGGACATAGGACAGTGAGCTTTGTCATCTCCATGATGATAATCTCTGTTCACCTGTTGCTCATCTCTTGCCTTCTACGCTTCTTCAGTTCACGTTGATTATAAACTAATAATGGGTTAGACAGTCTTAAAATGCTACATCTACACCTTCAGTTCAGGACTACTCCACTAAAGGATTTGAGTTCCAGTTAGGCCTAGAAACCTCCTCACTTCTTTCTTTTTCCTTATCCTAAGCTATATTCTGTTGTGAGGCACACAGTATCCAACAAAAACACACACGTCTCACCTGATACACTGTGCCAGATGAGACATCAGACATGCTGTCCAACAAAAACACACACGTCTCACCTGATACACTGTGCCAGATGAGACATCAGACATGCTGCTTTGATGTGCCCAGGCGGCAGGCACACACTTGTGTCAGCAATGCATATTTTCTTTCTGGAAATAGTTTGGATGGGTGTTTAAAGAGAGTACTTGGATGATGCAACTACCTTTTTTTTTCTGCCAATGGAGCTGTTGGATTCTAGCCTTATAGGGCATATTTATAATCTTCGATGCCCTAATGAGGACACTAGGTTACAAGGCATTTGGAAGTTTAATTTATATCTTATTACATTCAAGTGTGATTAAGAGAGTTTATCCCCTTGCTCTAGGTTTGAGGAACTGTTAGGTTTTTACTTTATATGATTTAACTCCTTAGTCTTATATGGTGATTCCTTTAAAGCTACATCTCCTTTATGGTTGAACGACATGAAGTTCAAGAGCTGCTGAGCAATGATTCTATCTCTGTGTCAACTTGTATCCATTAGCTGACTGCATTGCAACGGCAAATTGTTCTTTCTGGTTTGCATGTCTCTGAATTTTCTGCTGGAATGGAATCTTAAAACTATTGCTGGACATGCATCTTTGTCCATACTATGCAAATCTTGAACTTCCAAACATGGTTGCAAAATAGAAGCTGATTACGTCAATTGTGAAACTGCAGCTTTCAGCTAAAATATGCAGTGGTGCTGGTCTTGCTACTGTCGTTAATTAGTGGATGAAGTTCATTGATGCATGATATCTGAGAAGGTAGCTCGTTTCTACAATGTCCTGAAGATTTTTGTTTTGCTATTTCAGGTATTCAATGTTGCAGGGGTACCAATAGAATGGGAAGAACACTATGTCGGTACAGAAGTTGATCCCAGAACAGAGAGTTTTTTGACTTGGGAAAGCCTGGAGTCAGTGCGTAGAAACAAAGTTGGCTTGAAAGGACCTATGGCTACACCTATAGGAAAGGGTCATCGATCTTTGAATCTTACATTAAGGAAAGAACTTGGGCTCTACGCCAATGTCAGACCTTGCAACAGCCTCCCAGGCTACAAGACCAGATACGATGATGTTAACCTTGTGACAATTCGTGAGAATACCGAAGGAGAATATAGTGGTCTTGAGCATCAGGTAAGCATTCTTAAAGACATGTTGCTTCAACTATTGTCACCATGATTCTTTTTCACCTTGTCCTAGTTTCACTCCAGGTTGTGAGAGGTGTTGTGGAAAGTTTGAAAATTATTACCCGCCAAGCAAGTTTGAGAGTGGCAGAGTATGCTTTCCATTATGCCAAGGCTAATGGCCGGGAAAGGGTCTCTGCGATCCACAAAGCCAATATTATGAGGAAGACAGATGGTCTTTTCCTCAAGGTTTGTGGGCTACCATTGTTCCTTCTTTTCATGGATGCAATTCTTTTTATTTCCTTGAGAATTTACGTTTTCTTGATTTTTATTGTACTTGTAGTGTTGCCGTGAAGTGGCTGAGAAGTACCCTGAAATTCAATATGAGGAAGTCATCATTGACAATTGCTGTATGACGGTATGTTCTGTCAGTTGAATGTTTCCATTTTATGGTCAACTGTTGTTGTGCTCTTGATAGTGATGGCCTGCCTAGGCTGTGCTATTTGGATATCAATTTTTTCTTACTATCGCTGATACTGATGTAACTCGTAATGAACCCGCATCTTCCTTCAGCTTGTGAAGAATCCTGGTCTTTTTGATGTGTTAGTGATGCCAAATCTCTATGGTGACATCATTAGCGATCTATGTGCTGGTTTGATCGGGGGCTTGGGCCTAACACCCAGGTAAACTTGCTTTGATTAATCTAATATCCTTGGGTATTATATGGCAAATGCTCACATTTGTTTGTTTATTTTCCCAGTTGCAATATTGGTGAAGGTGGCATTTGTCTGGCAGAAGCTGTTCATGGTTCTGCTCCTGATATTGCTGGCAAGGTGAGTAGGTCTCGGAACAATTTCTGCTTTCTACCGGAATTGGTTGTGTTTTACTTTTGTGGTTTCTCATGATATGTTAGGGAATCAATAGGGTCACTTGATTCAATGATGTTTTGTGATTTTTCAAGGCAGTTCATCAGTTAATACAAAAACAACAACAACATAGCCTTTCAGTCCCAAGCAAGTTGGGGTAGGCTAGAGTTGAAACTCACCAAGAGCCCCAAGTCATGGTTCAGGCACTTCAATAGTTGCTTTCCAAGTACTCCTATTCAAACATAGATCTCTAGGTATATCCCAAGCTTTCAAATATCTTTTATTGCCTTCTCCATGTCAATTTCGGTCTTTCTCTACCTCTCCTCATATTATTAGCTTGGCTTAGGACTCCACAATGCACTGGTGCCTCTGGAGGTCTCCTTTGGACATGGCCAAACCACCTCAACCGATGTTGGACAAGCTTTTCTTCAATTGGTGCTACCTCTAGGGGATCACGTATATCATCGTTCCAAACTCGGTCCATTCTTGTGTGACCGCAAATCCATCGCAACATACGCATTTCTATAACACTCAGTTATTGAACATGTCGAATCTTTGTAGGCCAACATTCTGCTCCATACAACATAGCCGGTCTAATCGCCGTTCTATAGAACTTGCCTTTTAACTTTTGTGGTACCCTCTTGTCACAGAGAATGCCAGAAGCTTGTCGTCACTTGATCCACCCTGCTTTGATTCTATGGCTAACGTTCGTATCAATATCTCCATCCCTCTGTAGCATCGATCCCAGATACCGAAAGGTATCCTTCTTAAGCACTATTTGACCTTCCAAACTCACATCTCCCTCCTCCTGCACAACTCCACCAAAGTCGTATCTCATGTATTTGGTTTTAGTTCTGTTCAATCTAAGACCTTTAGACTCAAGGGTCTGCCGTCATAACTCTAGTTTTCTATTTACTCCCGCCCGGCTTTCGTCCACTAACACTACATCATCAACGAACAACATACACCAAGGGATATCCTCTTATATGTTCCTGGTAACCTCGTCCATTACCAAGGCAAAGAGATACGGGCTTAAGGCTGACCCTTGATGAAGTCCAATTTTAATCAGGAAGTAATCTGTGTTACCATCGTTTGTTTGAACACTAGTCACAACATTGTTGTACATGTCCTTGATAAGGGTCACGTACTTTGAGGGACTTTATGTTTGTCCAAAGGTCACCACATAACATTGCTTGGTATCTTGTCATAAGTCTTCTCCAAGTCAATGAAAACCAAGTGGAGGTCTTCTTCTACTCTCTAAACCGCTCCATCACCTGTCTTATTAAGAAGATTGCTTCTGTGGTTGATCTTCCGAGCATGAAACCAAATTGGTTTGTTGATATCTGCGTCATTCCTCGCAGGCGCTGCTCGATGACTCTCCCATAACTTCATAGTGTGGCTCATCAACTTAATTCCCCGATAATTATTTCAACTTTGGATATCTCTCTTGTTCTTGTAGATTGGCACCAATATGATGCTTCTCCACTCCTCAGGCATCTTGTTCGATCAAAAGATATTGTTGAACATCTTGGTTAGCCATACTATAGCTATATCCTCGAGACATCTCTATACCTTGATTGGGATACCATCAGGGCCCGTCGCTTTGCCCCATTTCATCCTTTTCAAGGCTTCTCTGACCTCCGATTCTTGAATCCTCCGCACAAAGCGCCTTTTAGTGTCATCAAACGAGTCGTCTAGCTGAACGGTGGTGTTCTCGTTCTCACCATTGAACAATTTATCAAAATACTCTTGCCATCTATGTCTGATCTCATCCTCCTTCATCAAGAGCTGCTCCCTCTCATCCTTTATGCACTTGACTTGGTTGAAGTCCCTTGTCTTTCTATTGCGAGCCCTAGCCATCTTATAAATGTCCTTCTCTCCTTCATTCGTACTCAAACGTCGGTAAAGGTCCTCATAGGCCCGTCCCTTTGCCTCACTCACCGCTCGTTTTGCAGTCTTCTTTGTCACTTTGTACTTCTCTATGTTGTTTGCACACCTGTTATGATACAAGCGCTTATAGCACTCCTTTTCCTTAATAGCCTTTTGCACATCTTCATTCCACCACCAAGTGTCTTTCGAGTCGCATCCGCTCCCTTTGGTCACCCAAAGCACCTCTGAAGCAACCTTCTGAACGCATGTTGCCATCTTCTCCCACATGCTGTTTACATCGCCTTCATCATTTCAAGGGCTCTCTTCAATGACCTTTTCCTTAAAGACCTTTGATGCCTCCTCTTCTAATTTCCATCACTTCATTGTAGCAACCCTAGCTTGTTTGTTCCCACGAGCTTGCACCAGAAAGCGGAAGTTAGCCACCACCAGCTTGTGTTGAGCGACCACACATTCTCCAGGTATCACCTTACAGTCCACGCATGCTCGTTTATCCCTCCTTATAGGGACAAAGTCGATTTGACTAGAGTACTGGCCGCTACTAAAAGTCACTAAATGGGGCTGTCTCTTACGGAAGAAAGTGTTAGCTATCATCAGATCAAAAGCTATGGCGAAGTCTAAGACTTCCTCCCCCTTCTGGTTTCTACTACCATATCCGAAACCCCCGTGAACCGTCTCGAAACCTACACTTCATGGCCATTAAGATCACCTCCTATAAAGAGCTTCTTACTACTAGGGACAGCTCTAACCAAGCGATCTAAATCTTCCCAGAAAAGCCGCTTAGCACTCTCATCATGAATTTGGCTGCTTAGCCAGAAAAGCCACATAGCAGTTCATCAGTTAATGTCTTTCTTTTATATATTATATATATATATTATCTGATACTTATTTAGATACAGCTTAATGCTTTTAACCTGAAAGTTGTCTGGCATGTTCCTCCTGTTAACATCTCGATGTATTGGTATTACAGTTGCTATATATTTACCCGTACTGGATTTGTTGTTTGTTTCTAGAACCTCGCGAACCCGACTGCTCTTATGCTGAGTGCTGTCATGATGTTGCGCCACTTGCAATTCAATGACAAAGCAGACCGGATCCACAACGCCATCCTCCAGACCATCGCTGAGGGGAAGTACAGGACTACTGATCTTGGTGGAAAGGCATCGACATCAGAGTTTACAAAGGCAGTCTGTGATCACATCTGAGAATCGGATGTGATTCTTTCCTTCTGATTGTTTTGTCTTCCTAATATTTTTTGTCGCATATGGAGAGGAGCTTTAGCTTTAAGAGGTTAACTGGCAGCACCTCGAACTTCTGTGGGTGTTTAACACGGTTTGAGACCGTCAAATAATTTTGTCACATTTCTTGCCGTTCAGAAATTCTTTCAACTCCGGAAACGAGTCTATAATTGTATGTAATAATCAACAGCAGCATTATAGCAGTAGGTAGGGTTTATTTCATTCACGTTCTTGAAATATTGGGCCAACTGGTTGGGAATGCCAGTTAGGGCATGTTAATCCTGGTTTTCCCTTTATGCTTACAAAGAACCAAATTCATGTATCGAAGGAAATTTGCAGCTTTATTAACATGGTGATACTACTTATTTAGAGCCTGTTTGATATTAGCACTAATAGTTAGCTAGCTACTCTCTTTGTTTCAAATTGTAAGGCGTTTTTAGCTTTTCTAGATGTATTAGTTTTGTTATGTATCTAGACATAGTATATATTTAAGTGTATGATAAAACTTTTGTATCTAAAAAACCATAACGTTATAATTTAGAATAGAGGGTAATAATACTGACAAATAGCTAGTGGAGCTAACAGTTAGCATTCCCTAGCTAATAGTAGGTCTATTTGGCTCTACGAGTAGTCTCCGGGAGTAGTAATGTTACCTGTTAACTATTAGAGCATTTTAAAGAGTTTCTAAAATTTACTCTTTAAATCACCATTTCAAGAGTCATTTAAGTAAAAATTATTTTTCTTCTAAAATTTACTCTTTAAATCATTATTTGAAGTTATTTGAGTAGAAATTGCTTTTCTATATTTTTTATCCTTCAACGGTTTTTTATATCTTATGCACCCACTGGAGAAATATTCTTTGGCTAACGTGAAATTTGGAATGCTCTTATCTTTGACTAGTGAGAAATTTAGAACGCTCTCTATCTTTGGCTAATGAGAAATTTAGAATAGAGAATGTCTATATTTGGGATCCAATTAAAAAGTCATTGGAGGTTTTTTTTTCACCAAAATCTTAAATTTTCTATAAATTAGGAATGATACATAGAGTCTCTTGGAGTTGCTCTTAGCACGAGTGGACCCAAACATATCATTGTTCAGAAAAGTGGACATCTTTCTAATTATATACTTCCACTTAGGTCTTGTTTAGATCCATTAGCTGCTAATGGTTAGCCCAATGGCTTTAGTAAACCCTAGATCTAGAGACGAGCTGTAGACGTAGGCATAGTAAATAAAAATATTTAAACTACTTTAATTTAGTATATAAATTATAACATAGCCCTTAGAGCATCTCCAAAAGTCTCTTAAACTTACTCTTTTTCTCGAACTCTTAAACTTACTCTCTTAATCATCATTTAAAAAGTAATTTGAATAAAATGATTTCTCTATTATTTTCACCCTCCAATATATGCGCACTCTAGAGAGAGTAACCTTCACTCTTCATCTTCATCTTTGGTTACCAAGAAATTCGAAATAGAGAATAGCCATATATTTAGAGATCTAATTAAAGAAGTTGGAGGGTATTTTAATTCACCAAATCTCTATTTGTCGACATAGAATTTTCGTCCCATTCGAGGACACATGCAGCAAGTCGCAAGGATCCGCTCGATGGAGCAGATCCGCCTTGCTTCAGCGCAGGAGTGGTCGATCCTACGCAATTTGACCCTACAATTGACAAGGAGAGAAAGTTTATCAGTAATTAAGGGCGGACCTTGCCGGTATTGTCAGACAGTCCCGAATGTGCGGCTATGAGAGCCGATATGAAAGGAGATCGACTAAATAGTCGATTCAAGCATATTCATGAGAATAAATCGATTAAAGCTTATTGGGTTGTATAAGAGAAATCGGTTACCATTCAGGGTAAATGTCACCATTTAAACAAATATTAATCAATGGCAATAAGATGCTGACAATGATTGGTTTATACTGAGCCAATGATTACGAGTAACCGAACCCCTTTTATATAAGGAAACAATTCAACATCACTTAACCGTTTAATAAAGATAAATCTAATGAACATGTTAGATCTCATCTATCGCCATAACTAGTGGGGCATGAGGCAGAATCATGCAGGCCGTAGAAACAACAATGGACTCGACGACCCTAACTCATTACTAATATCAGTGGGGCATGAGACAGAATCATGCAGGCCATAATACAATAATAAGATCATGGGGCTAACACATCTTTCAACCTATCTTTACTTCAATGGTCTCGTGATGCGAACTGTTTGTGAAAGCATTCGATATTGGCTAAAACAGCCGATTCAGGCATAGCGCACACCTAAAGTCATGCCTTATCAGGAATAGATCTACCAAATAACGATCCCCACTCCACGGTGCTAACAGTGGGGTGCGAGGCAGAATCACACAGGCCATGATAACGGGTCATGAAACGGTTCTCGCTAGCCAATAAATCTACTCGAGACGCGACACGCCTTAACCGCACGCTATGTACGGTTAAGATTGATATAAAACAGCCGATAAAAACATAACACATCGTTTAAAGTGTAGATTAGACTAATTTCAGATTAGCAAACGATGGGTTAAACAGGATATAATGTCGATCTAGATCAATCCCAATCGGACAGAGAGATATTGCTGTAATTAGATAAATAATGAAAGAAATAAGCAATATCGGTAACTTAATGAATCTACCAAAGACTGCCATTCTAAGGTAGAGCCGATAACTTGACCTTGATCTAATTCAAGCAGTGGGGTGTGAGGCAGAATCACACAGGCCATACTTGAATTAGACAAGAGTCGATAACTAGTTTATACCAGAGACGCAGTGGGGGTCGACCGGATCGATGCAGCCATACGAACAGAGGTATAAACCATGACGGTACTTACAATAAGCAGTGGAGGTCGACCGGATCGATGTAGCTGTACTTGCCGAAGAACTCGCCGTTATCTACTCTACTCCTACTTCTAAGGGTGGCCGGAGCCGAAAAAAGTAATTGACTTGTATTTGATTGATTGGTTGTCTCTTACAATAGCCGGGGTTTGATATTTATACTCGGAGTCTAAACATGAATCCTACTCGAGCATGATTTGTTACAATCTTTGGCATAAATGAAAACATTCCTAATTTAAGATAACTTAACTCTAATCTTTCCCTTTTTGTAGAGTCCAGCATGTCTCGTCCCAGCACCGATCGTAGCCTCTGTCGTTATCTGCTGGCGCTATCTGAAGAAAGCCGATTCTAGTGCTGCATCCGAATCAGCTGTTTTCAGTCTGCATGCAATTGATCCCCCTGTTGACATGATTTTGGGAGCTCTCGAGCCCCTGAGACCCTTCTTCTAAATTTTGGTGTAAACACATGCCCCCTAATTTTGGAATAAAAGTAATTTTATTCCAAAATTATCATGTCTGCATCCCTGATTGGTCCACAGTCACGGGTAGCGAACCTTGATCTGGGGTCCACCGTTTGTCGCCACTTGCGTCCATTCATGAGCCTATGCCTCAAGACTTTTTACAAGAGCATCACTGCTTCACGGGCACTTAGACTCGTCTTCCCGAGCTGGCTATAAAAGGCCTATCTGACCCTGGCGAGAGCAGCTCAATAATTCAGTCATGTTTTTCTTCCATCTGCTTCCTCGAGTGCTCTCGACTCCGCTGGACCCTCCATGGTCTATCCTTTTACTATGAAAGTTTTGAGCGATTAGAAGAATTCTTGTGCATAGGGTGATTGTCTCGCTCATTCTAGCACCTTGTCAAGCAAGAGGATCAGCCATCACGGTTAGAAAAATTCTTGTGATATCACCTGAGTCTTCTCTCCATGCTCGCAAAGCTGTTCTAGTGTTTGCAAGGGCTAAAATATGTGGACACCTTTCCCTTGTTTGTTCCACTGAACGCCCACCAGAAAAGTCACAGGCTTCTTTCCCATAGTTTCTCGGTTTACCGAGAAATCGGCTAAGCACATGTTAAGCGGGCGATTTTCCTCTTCTCGGGCACAATTTTGTCAATGGGCCAATGTCGATTTGTTTCATGAAGACCTTCGGCCTTATGGGGCTCGGACTCCCTTTGATCTAAAGAAACCTTGATAGGTTGATCTCTAGTTAATGTAAAATCTTCGAATCCATCTCATGATATTTTGTAATTTGGGGGAGCAATAAGTTCGAATCTGTTATCTCTTTGTTATCCGTCCCCTAAACTCCCAGAGTGTTGTTCCGCTTCCATTTCTGATTCCAAATTCACATCCCCGACGAAATCTATCTTCTCGCCTTCCTGGGCTATATATATACAGGCCACGACCGTGGGTCGAACAACAACTCGCTTCGTCTCAAACCCTCTGCATCCTTAGTATAGCTTCTGTTTTTCCGTAGATTTGAGATCATGGAGGATAGCAAGAGATCTGTTGAGGAGGCCCTCGATGGATCTGCATCATCGCGCCAGTGCATCCACCGTCAGAAGGGTTCCACTTGCGATGCTCTCGTCGTCCCAGAGCAGAGGGCCAACTTCGCTCGGCCTTTGGGGTCATCCTTAGTACTAATTCATCGCCAGCTCCCCTGTTACCCGAGGAGGTTGAGAGATAGCGACAACCTGATCGCTTCCATTGACCGTACCGGCGAGAAACTTGCCGACTGCCTCTCCATTACGGAGTCAGCTCTGGCCATAATCCAAGGCCGATCACCTCCTGAGGCCAACCCGATGCGGGAGAGGCTGGCCAAGGCTGAAGCCAGAATTGCTAGTGAGACATTTACCATAATCTTCTGTTTCTTTTTCAATTTTTTATTCTCTAAGATCCTGTTCACCTCTTCTCCAAATCCTTTAGATCTATCGGCTCAGCTGGAAAACCTTTGTTTGGCCGCGGACCATGCGGCAGGATTCGTCAATGCTAGGGGCGCCGTTCTAGTGGTCCGCTTGCATGACACCCTGAATCGTGTCAGGGAGGTTGCTCTTCATGGCATTCATCATGGCGCTGCTATGGCGTTGGCCGTTGCACAAGTTTACTCCAATCACGATCTT